GCGAGCCCGGCGCTCCCCGTGCGAGCCCGGCGCGTTTCCATCTGCTTTGTCAGGGACAGGTCCGCAGCCTGGGCTGGCTGGCTGGAGTTGTTGCAGTGTAAAGGCACTGATTTGCCTTCTTTTCCTTAGTTTTCTCAGTTTTCTTAGTTTTTGGTGGTTTTTTTTGGTTTTTTTGTTCTTTCAGTCCTGATGGGATTGGGGTTTTTAAGGGTCTGCCCAGTTCTGGCAAAACCACTAAAAAAAAAAAAAGAATCATCCTAGAAGATAAGTTGTATGTTGACAAATGAACAGACTTTTCCCATTTTTTAGGAATATGAAAAAGATCTCTTAGTGTTCATTTCCTCAGAGAAAAGAACCGTGAGCTCTGCAGGGGACAGCATGGTGAGGTGCATGGTTAGGTCCATCCTAAGACATTTTTGAGAGGACTTTTCTGTCTGAAAGCTCATTCAGTAATTAATGTTACTCTTATTCTTTCTTGGCAAAGTGTTAATTAATTCAATATTGTAAATGTTGTGGGAGAAAAAAAGGAAAGTAGATTCACTGCTTAAAACTGCACAATTTTGTGAGGAGAGTTTAAAAGTGCATTAGCTCCTCCTGCCCATTAAGTTTTGGTTTCAAGGGTTGTAGTAACAATTTGATACTAAAAGTACTGAGTTTGCCTCCTTGGTCTGTTTTAAGAGCTGAACTGAACTTTAGCACTTGTACAACAGTTGCCCTGGAGAAAATATAATAAAATCACTTGGCCTGATAAAATGTAGCCAAACCTTCTCTCTAAAATAAGAGTGAGTTGTAACGAAATACACCTTTGACAGAGCAAGGTAGAGCAAGGCAGTGAATGCTGAGAGCAGAGGGTTGTCCCCAGTTTATTGGCTAAAAGTAAAGCTTTGTGTATTCTGAATTACCATACAGTGTTTCCTTATCCTGAACTTCAGATAATCACACTATCAGATCTGGAATGTGACTACATCAATGCTAGATCGTGCTGCTCCAAGCTCAATAAAGTAAATTGTTCTTCTTTGCACTTGCTGTGCTTTGAGAAAACCACATCCTTCACCTGAGCATTGCAAATAACTGGGGTGTGATGGGTATATGAGGAACCCTGTTTGGCAGCATTTTGCATGTATCCCTTATTTCTACTTCTTCTTTCTTTTCTTTTTTTTTTTTTTGGATGTCCATTTTTCAGCAAATTCCATTACAAAAGTACCTTTTTAAATGAATCTGCTTAAAACTCTTGGCATTAAACCAATATGGCCTTCCCATGGGTGTGTTTACTTTGATTTAAAGGTGTCTTTTTCTTCATGTGAGATAGAAAGGCAGAGAATCCTGTCAAGCCAAGAATGTGTAATTGCCAGGGGCTGACCCAGTTTGTGATGCCAATTTTTATATTGACCACCTTTCTTATCTTTTCCAAGCCTGGGGCTGTTTGTGGAGGTTTTAATTATCTGAATCCCTGAACCCACTCTTCTCTGCAGTGATTTCAAATGAGCTCTGTCTACTTTCTCAGTTCTCTTTCTTGGATGCTTGTGTACAATAGTTGTGTTCAGAGAGCTGCTCTCTAGAAATGTTTGTGATGCTTGGAAAAAGCACCTCTGTTACAATATCTCAGGGCTTGATTTCTGCTTACTTGTGTGGAATCTGCCTGAAGGTATTAAATTTGTCCACACCGTGATGGAACACCCTGCCTCTGCTGTTACATGGTTATAATCACATTGTAATCCCAAATAGATGTCTTTTTCATAAAGGAATTTACATGTGTGCATGTAACTCTTTCCTCTTTCCCCTTTTTGTAGTGGGTGGTGCCTGAGGTGATTGGCCATGCTGTTGTCACGGTATTAATGCTTATTTCATTGCACTGGTTCATCTTTCTCCTTAACCTGCCAGTGGCCACATGGAATATATATAGGTAAGTGCTCAAGGGATTGTGGGGTTTCTTTGTAGCACTGTTTCTGGTTTAGCTTTAAGTGTAGTACAAAAATGAATAATATGTCATGGGGAGATGTTTCAGTTGCTTTCTCAAGCTGCTAACAGTCTTCATTGATCAAACTAACATAATTTCTTGTCGTTAAAATGACAAGAAATCCAACAATGTAAAGGACATGACACTTCTGGCCTTTACTTGCATTCTCTTTAATGCCCAGGAATCTCCATTTGTGGGTCATTTCCAAATTCATAGGAAATGATAGCAGATTAATTTGATTATGAAATAGAACTGAAAACAGAGTTAATTATGTTTTCATGCCATTCCTGATGGTGCTGTCAGCATAAAAGTGCTTAGGCTGGCATGGCTGATGGTTGTGAAACCATGGGGCTGTGGTGCTGTCCCTTGCATCCTCCTTCATTTACTGACTTGTGCCTTCCTCTCATCTGCACTGGTTTTGCCCCCCCCCCCCATCCTGCAGGTTTGGATTTGGGAAGGTTTGCAGCCTTTTCACCCTAGGACAGCTGTGTCTTACTGCTTTTTGTACACTGGGCTGCCCCCCTTGGAAATGGTTTAGTTACCAGTGGGGATTTCATGTGGCATCACTGGGACTGTCAGTTCAAACCATGTTCTTTTTATCTGATATCATTTGGTGTGTGGAGAACTGACCCTTCACAGGTGTTTGGCTGATGGAAACTGGGTGTGAATTTGTCACAAATTATCTCCAGTCACTGTACTGAGGGAACACAAGAACCCAAATGTTAAATGTACAGGTATGGAAAGTGGCTGTAATTCTTGTTTGCCTGAACCTGCCAGGACTAACTGTTTGCAGGGCTGGGTTGAGTTGCTGGTAGAATTAAACAGGAAGTCTCACAGCTCTCATTACAATAAAGTTGAGGCTCTCTGTACTGACAGCCTGGTTGGGCAAAATAGCTGTGCTATCTAAATTTTCATAAGTATCACCCTTGTTTCCTACAGAGCTGCCAGCAAAGCCTTCAAATGTGTCTAAGCTGGAGAAACATGAGACAGTGTAACTTTATGCTTAATAAATAAATGTTGCCTAAATACACACACGGGGCATGGTTTTGTTTGCCCCTCTCTATGTACAGCTGTGACCTGTAGTGACCAATATTTGGTTTGGGATCTGCTAGCAAGTTTAGGGTTTGATGTTTCATTTAGGCAAGGCTAAGACACCACAGACAGAATGCATTTTATTTGAAGCTGTCAAAATTCCTTGTGCTGGTTACCACTTTGCTGCTTCATTTTGTGTACCTATATTAATTTTTAAAGCAGGCTCTTGCTTTTGCTTCTAAAACTGGTTAAAGATAGTTTTAAAAGAGAAATTATTTCTATTTCTACTGTTGGGCAGTAAGCTTTGATTGCTGTTTTGTATTGACAGCTCTCATTTTATATATGTCCTACATAGCATAAATATTCTGAATATCCTAAAATCCAGGATTGTTTCCTTAATTTTAGATGTGCAGTGTAGGCAATAAGAAATCAAAATATTAGGCCTGTATCACTAATCCTCCCTTCTTTCTGAGGATCAAGGAGTTTCTCCCACATTAATAGCCTGGACTATCCCATCTCTAGTGAAGGAGTTGGAGGCCTGCAAAAGCAAGTGTGGGGTTTAGCATTTCAGCTCATTAGGAACTGCAGTGATAGCACCAGGAATAAAGGGTCCAAAGTAAAAGAGGGGAAATTTAGGTTAGAAATACAAGAGAAGAAGAATCCTGTTGAGATTGAAGAAGCCCCTGCTTTGCAGTGTAAGTGATAGAAGGAAAGGTAGGATAATCTCTTCCCCTTATTCACTTTTCTTTAAAACTTCCTTAATCCCAATGACTGCATGGCAGCTATGGGCAGTCTGGCTTAATTTAGTAATTCTCTCAAGGATTTCAGTGAGAGAGGAGAGGTTTTGTGTGGGAAGGGTATCAGAAACAATCCTGGGAAGGATAAATTACTCAAAAACAGCATCAAGAGAGACTTCCAAAGTTGAAGCTTATTTATTGTGACATCCTACTGGCCCTTCTTGTTCAGCACACTCATATGATAGTGAACCTTTTTTTGATTATTTTTGCAGTGTCTCCAGTCAGACAGTTTTGTCTTATATTCTCCTTGTTTTAAAATTCAGAGGGAAGCATTCAGCTTTATTTTTCTTCTTTGTTATATAGATCTCCTTGAGAGAATAGGTCCAAGTAATGAGATTCTTGCCNAAAAAAAAAAAAAAAAAAAAAAAAAAAAAAAAAAAAAAAAAAAAAAAAAAAAAAAAAAAAAAAAAAAAAAAAAAAAAAAAAATTAAAAAATAAATCTTTACAATTCACTGAAAATTCTGGTCAGAACTTCTACATCCCTTTAAAAATTGGGAAATCTAGAGGGAAGTATCCTGTTGCTGTGGTAGCAGCTTCCACTGAATGGAAATCCTGGAGGCACTGCTGCATATATTTATTAAAGCTGACAGTTTACTTGTTTGCTGCAGAAGTGTTTTTGCTGTGTAGAGGATGACAACTGGCTTGAGCTGGGTTTGTCAGCATTGAGCAGCATTGTATCCATGACTCAGCTCCTTAGATATAGAATATAGGCTGTCCTGCCTTGTGGACCTCTTGGAAGAAATGCCTCACAGTTTACATAACTAAGTTACATCATTTAAGTTGCACCATTTTTAAAAAAATCAGAATTAATGCATGCTGTCTTTATGGCACTCATATCCCAGACATGGAAGAAAAACATGCATTCTGTTTCTAGGATAATTTGGTACAGGAAACATGTTCCTCCTTTAATTTCAATAAAATGTGTTACATTCCCAGGAGATGGACAATAATTTTTAGTGGTAACACTAAAAACTAGCATTCAAAACTTCAAATTTAGAAGGGAATTTCATACTGGAGTTACTTAACATGAACTATTTTTAATGGGACACAACTGTCTCTGGTATTAGTCAAGTATGCTGCAGTGCTTTTCAGTGCCTCTGTGATAGACAACTGCAGTAGGCTGAACTTTTTCTTTCCTAATGTCCTGCTTCTGCTAGAAAACATCCCTGTTGCTTGTTTCCTTTCCTTCCCTTCCTCTCCTTTATGGAAATGAATGTGGTAAGAGGTGGAGAAATGTCTTTTGGACTACAAGTGTTGCCACTGGAGTATACTAAGGAAACTGAACAAGTGTGCTGTTCTGAGACCACATTTCTGCTCCAGCTTTAAGACAAAAGATTAAATTCCTGTATAGAAAGAGTCTGATCCCAGAAAGGCAGAGCCTATATAACAACTGAGTGATGTTCTAGCCTGAGCTCAGCTGGAGTGAGAAATTCTTCTGACAAGAGAATGTGCTGCTGGCTCAATAGTCACAGGACGTAAACATTTGGTTTGCTGGTTTCATGCTTCCTTGGCTTACATTCCACTCAGCTTTTGTTCCCATGTGGGTTTGGACAGCAGAACCTGACATCTTCAGTTCTGCCCGACTCATCCTCTTGGCCTCAGTGTCTGTGCTGAGGAGTCCCAGCATGGCTGTGACAGAGGCAGGGGTAACAGCACAGGTCCTTTGCTTTGGCTTATGCCATCTCATTGTGACCACTGGAGTTTGTGATTTTCTCTGTAAGGGCTTTTGCTAAATAAATTACAGATTCTTAGTTAAATTAGGTTATTTCCCAGTCCCTTTGATCTAATGCATCTTTCCACTGTGGGTGGGTGTTTTCCCCATGACAGCAACTGTGAACAGCAATTAAAATGAGCTGGAATTGGCTGTTAACTGGGATCTCTCTAATTTATACATGGGAAGCTGGGCTGATGCTTTTAGTACTTCTTGTTCTCTTATTATTTGTGAGTTGTACTGGCAGAGATAGCTGCAATATCCAGAACTCCCTTACCTTGAACTGTGAAACAACTGTTCAGATTAAAGTCTTGGCAAGCTTTTCCCTGCCTCTTGTCCTGACACTCCCTGATGTTTCAGTGATTACATTTTTGAGTTTTGTTGTGTGCTTTTTTTTTTGTTTTGTTTTGTTTGTTTGTTTGGTTGGTTTTTTTTATTCTTTAACTTTCAGGTACATTATGGTGCCAAGTGGAAACATGGGAGTATTTGATCCCACAGAGATCCATAATCGAGGACAACTGAAATCACACATGAAAGAAGCCATGATTAAGCTGGGCTTTCATCTGCTCTGTTTCTTCATGTACCTTTACAGGTTAGTTTCAAAAGTTGCTCCTAAGGAACAAAGGGATTGTCTGCCAGCTATTTTTATCTCCTCTGTTCCACTGGTGTAATTGCTGGTATTCACGTCTTAGATTTTTGCATCCTGCTAAGCCTCAGTAATACATTTTGACAGCTATCTCTGGGCTCATTATATGATTTTATTCATTCTGATCAAACACTGTTTGGAAACTCAGGCTATTCCTTAACCTCAAAACCACAAGTGCAATGTAAAGAGATGCATGCTTCTACCACCTACAGTAAGTGGCCTGTTTAGAAAGGAAATACTCTTGAGGATCAAGTTTATTTTACAAGTTGTTTTTTGAAAACGAAGATCATCTGGCTGAGTTACAAATAGATGTGTTCTGTAGTAAGGCCACTTACTCCAAGGCAGAGCTGCTGTTCCTCTACTGCAGTATTGATTCTGCAGCCTTGTCTTCCTAAGCAAAGCACACAGCAGAAAATGCCTTGACTTTCTATTTCAGGTTCTCTCAGTGCAGCTCTCCCATGACAGTGAGAGCTGCTCCTGCTTGCACAAGCTTCAGTAATCCACTGGTATCATGTTTTCTGTTTTGTCACAGTATGATTCTGGCTTTGATAAATGATTGAGAAGTTGAAAGAGAACCATTAGCTGCCAAATTGGGTCATCACTCCAGTGACTGGTTGTGGAGCCACAGACACCTCCTGAACACACCTAGATCAGTGTCGTCATGCAGTATATTTTTCCTCTTTGAACAAGAAATATTTTTCTGTATTTTTAACATAAAATATTTTCAAAAGGCATTGGATCTGTGTAGCAGTTGTTTTTGTTACTTTACAAGCCAAACTTCTGGAGCTGCTGTTTCTGTAAGATGACATCCTTGCTTACAGAAATGACCTCATAGCAAGTGAAAGGTGATAAGGGAAACTCGTTCCAGCAGCATTAGCTGCTAATGATGGTTGTTCCTGAACACATTCAAGTGCAGCAATGATATCTGATTCCTGCTGAGAGGTGTCAGGATGAGACTCGGGCTGCCAAGCTGTCCTATCAGAGTTTAATTTAAAGGAGCACTTGGAACAGATTTCAAAGTGGAACAGAAACACAGCTTGCATCTTTGTGTTGGTACTCTTTCCAGACAAAAATCAATGGAATAAAAGTTACATTTTCCTCCCTTTCCCCACCCTTCTGCAGCAATCTATATGAAGTCTTGCATTTGGATGGATTAAGATCCCTTTGGTGGATATGACAGTTATGTGTAATAGTCCAGATAAACGTGATTAATACTTGCTTTTTCCCTTCAACTCCTATTTTGTCATTGAAGTGCATCATGGACATTCAGATAAAGATACGATCATATTGCACTGGGGTGGAGTTGGTTACAGAGCAAAAGACTATCTGCAGTTCTACTCCCTGAACCTGCTGTTTGCATAGCCAAAAGGGTGAAACAAAAGTCTGTCTAGCTCAGGGAAATGGTCTGGTAACCCATAACTCCACTTACTCCAATTCTGATGTGACTCTGCTTCAGCGACACCAGCAAGTTCTCTTTGTGCAGCTCTTGATCAGTGATAAGTGTATAAACCTGAGTTTGTACCCTCACTGTCCAATAACTGTCTTTTAAGTTTTTTATATGTGCTTGCAAACAGGTCTCTTGGAACAAACACATCAATTAAAACACTTTAAAAAATACACTTCTGTAATTACATCTGAAAATTTATGAGCTTTTTTAAGTACTTGGGGTTTCAGTGTACAGCTGGAGTCAACAATTGTTTTCAGGGCTAGTCATGAAAAGGCAACACTGATGCTTTATAGTTGTAGATAACCTTGTGATCAGTGTTTGTTCTAAGAGGAGTTTAGCTTTAAATTTTTGATGGAGTCCAAGTTAAGCAGTGTTTAAGATGAATGCTGAAAATTGTGCTCGTTAAAAAAAAACCTAAGGAAACAGCTACCCCAGCTGGATGCCACTGACTACCTGGCAGGACAACATCAATCTACAGAAAGTATTGCTCTCTAAAGCCAAAACTGACACGAGGTAGGTCTGGAGAAAGGAGAGTTTTCTACTCAAAAGAGCAGAAAGTCAGTAACTTCTTAGCAGATTATGGTAGGCAATTAAATGATTTTGTGTGTGAAAAAAACCTACTTGACATATTTTGGGTGTTGGAATAAAAGGCCTAAGTCAGATCCTTGCTGTATTGCTGACAGTAGACTGTCCAAAAACTGATTATAAGACTTGAAAAAACCTTAGCAGCAGGTCTCAGAGACTACAATGCTGCTGAATAATTACACTGGTAATGTTAAAGCCTTCTTACTGTACAGGATCAGTGCCTGCTTCAACAGAGATCTTCAGAGGTCAGTGTCAGCTACAGAAAAAATATATTTGTAATAGCTAAAAACATGATTAATTAGCTAGAAATAGGGATATTGCAGTTATGTCATTCCTGGGAGACCCACAGAGCATAAAGATTTTTATGGTGGTAAGAAAAAAAAAAATCCCTATTTTTCAGCAGAGAACAGAGTAATTTAAACCCAAACTTAAATACAGAATTCAAGACAATAAGAAATTTTGAGATCAATTTTTTAAAAAAAAATTCATCTGGCTATCATCGTAAATTGGTGTGAGATCAAAGACAGATTCCTTCCTATTCACTCAGACTATTTCTCTTTGGACTTGAGGTACTCAGGTATAACTTCGTGAGGCACCATTATCTATGGCTGATAGAAAACTCCTAATCAGTGAACATAAATCAAAGTCCTGCAGGGATTCCAACTTTTAACTGATGCTACTGAGCCCTTTTTCCTCACCCACAATCCACAGCCCAGCCAGCTTGCAAAAATGATAATCTTGCATCAGTTTTCAGAGAGATTACGTAACAGTTAAGAATTCTACATTTGGGGGGCTAATTAAAATGTGTAGAATTGCATGTTTCCTCCTAATTAATCATTAGTTACAGACTGTTGGTTATTGAATTTGTTTTTCAAGAATATACTTGCCTCCTCAGTCTAGTAAATTACTGGTTTGATTTTCTAAAATGGTTCTGTATTCTGGAACATGGTAAATCAGTGGTCTGACCAGTAGTAATTCTACATGCAGGTTAACAATCAACCAGAAACCCTGATAAGCCCAAAAAGGCAAATCTTTATCTGTTCAGGAATGTCAGAGCTTTATTCTAATTCTTTCTTCTCATAAGAAGCTCTCTATGATTTTGTTGTACAAGTGACAAAAGACCATTTATGCCTTTAAGTTTAGGGTGTGATAGACATCGGAGGTAGCAGTAGGAAAAGCTGGGCTACATATGATAAACCACCATGCAGTTATCAGTACATTCACCACCTCAGCTTTGGCAGGAACAGTGGCACACAAGCCTCAGTGGTTACCTTTCAGAGCACTACAGGTCTTTTAAAGTGAGGAGACAACTGGCACTGCCACTTCTGGGATCACAGCCCTGGCACCTGTGAGACATGCAGGGAGGTGACCAGGCAGCACAGAGAGCAGGGATAAGGTGTAAGGGAGGGCTCTCCTTGAGCAGAGTTTGGATTTAAGCTGATTAAGAAACACACATCTACTCTCAGGTTCCTTGTGGAATTTCTTTGAAATAACCTGAATTATTTAACCAAACAAACAAACAAAAAATACATTAGGAAAAAGAACCCCAAACAAACCCCAAACCCACAGGACTTAAATGTCACAAATGCTGAGAAGTCACAGGCCCATAGAATTCATATATCTGTTTCTCTTGCACTCTTCTAGCCCATTAAAGGCAGATGAAGCACAGCTCTTTTGGCTGGGTTTGTTAGTAACTTCCTTCATCTGCTGTGTAAATAATTAATGGCTGAAGTAGGTTTGCAACCCAAGAACCCTCCTGCATATACCAGCAGCCAAGAGAAGTGGCACAAAGGACATGCAGAGGAATAAGGCCATCCCTTCTCTTGCAGCTGCATTTAAGCCATAATTATCTATGTGCTGCCTAAGCTGTAAGGGAGTGAACACTGTTAATACAAACGTGCTACTAGAGAGAGCAAAGACTTCTGATCAATGCATAAGTTAAAAGAATTCAAAAATTCAATGCACATCAGCAGAAGGTTTGAGTTTGGAAAAGCTACAAAGAGTGGAAATTCAGCTTTTTAACACAACATAAGCTAGAGCTGAATAAAAATGCAGGACAAAGATGAGGTTCTGGTTTAAGGCACAGGGAGGAGGGACAAGAACGTGGGGTCAAGTTGGAGGGAACAACAAGGCAGGAGACACAAGGACACCTTCTTACTATGAAGTATGAAAAAACCCCATAAAACTCAAAAAACACCTACAGCAACCAGAGTGTGGTATTGAAGCAAGCTGAAGCATTGAGAAATGATGGATTTCACGGAGCCTTAAGGGAGCAGATGTTGAGCAAGTGAGATAAGCACAGCCTGGGCCATGGCAAGTCAAGTGCTAAAGTACAGCACAAACACAAGGGTGAGGTGGGTTAGAGGCACACAGTAGAGCCTGGAGAGCCCGAGCACAGCACTGAGTGACTGAACTGCAGCTAAATTGCCACAAATTAATTTTCCTAGCAAGGAAGTGAAATACTATAGAAGAAATCTATAATTAATGATCAAGAAATCAACATCCAAGTCAGTCATATAAGTGAAGTTAGGGAAACTAAGAACTATTCATTCCAGTTATTTATTGTTTATTGAATTGAAAGAAAGGGAATACAAACATTTCTGTTAAGTGCTGTGCACCAACATGGAAAAAGTGTATTTTTTTTAAAAATCCTAATAAAAACAAATCAGAAGTTAATGTAGTTCCAATTGAACAATTTTTAAAGATATGTTTAAAATACTACACATTTATAAAATAAAAAAGTTAAAATGGTGTTCTGTAAATAATTAGTAAAACAAGTGAAAATAAATACGAGACCCAAAGTTCTTATGTTTTTAATGTAATATAGCAAAAGAAATTTTTAACTACTTAATAATATCTGAAGAGAGTAACAAAAATCCAGAAAGTTTAAGAACGCAATCCTTTGAAACATTTAATATCAGTCCATAGCAAATAGTCATTACATACCAAAAGCTCTAAGTGTTAACTAGTTCCACCACAACTCCATATAAATCTTGACAATTTAGAAATCTTGAGATCAACAATAAAGTTCTTTTCTTGATCTCTACAGCTTGGTTTGTAAGTACATACATGCTTTGAGGATCCATTTTGTCCCATATGTTTTCAAGGAGCCAATAACTTTTTCCATCTGTGCCTAAAAATGTTAAGTTCCAAATCTAGCACATATACCCTAAGAATGAAAAATGTTTATGAAAAAAGATGGGGCACAATGAATTTCAAATTTATAAAAATATACTGATATTAACCAAAACCTTCTGGTCAAAGGACACTTCACATACACATGACTTAAAAGTATGCAATAAAACATGACAAGTACCTAGAACATTTGGTTCTCTGTCTGTTCATGGAACACATGCACACACACACTCATACCAGATGGGAGGAACACTCTCACACATGTTTAACTGAATCCAGATTATCTGGATGAATAGATAGAAAACTTGGCTACAGTTTATTTCAACTAGAGGCAGCTACTGCAGCAGTAGTTCAACACTGCACACTTCAATTAAGTCCACCCTGTTTAAAAAAAGTGTCATAGTTAATGATTTTGCTTTCTAGACATCGTTAAAAGTAGCAGTTTTCAAAAATCAAGTATGGCAGCTGAAAACGGACTCAAGCCAATGTGGAAAAGACAGGAGGAGGGCAAAAGGAGGATTGGCCATTTGTGGGATGGGTGCTCCTCTTAATAGTTGTCTCAAAAAGAACTTAGATACAAGTGTATTTTGTAGCTAAAAATATGGACAAACTATTGAAAGTGCATTTTTCCTCCTCCCCCTTGAGTTACAGTAGTTTGTTGGTCAGTAAATCCTGCTTTTTATGTCCATTATTTTTTCTCTACCTCCCTCCCCATTTGGATCTACAACATATCCCCTCGAGCTACAGCTAATTGTACGAGTCCAGGCTTCCTGCTAAGGAAGCCTTTACAACTAATTTTGGGTGGGAGTATCACTTGGCAGTGTAAAAATACACAACTAGACACAAACTCCCAACAGCAGATAATTTTATTAAACATTACCTGGTTGAAGCCAAGTTGAGAAGTAACTGGCAAGATCTGGGCAGATTTCTAGCTTGCATCTTTGCTCCAATCATAAAGAGAAGTTAACTTTAAAGTTGGAGAACTTTAGAAAAGACAGAGGGAATTTACAAACAAAGGTGTCATTTCCCCCACTTCCCTCCCGTCCAAAACA